CCGTCGTCTACAAGTCAGGCCGCAAGCACAGCGACGCCGACTGCCTGTCCAGAGCTCCCGTCGCAGCACCTTCCGGCAGCAGCGACGACGATGACGACGAGTGTTTTCTGGGCGCAGTGAACATCGACGACATGGCCCGGCGTCAACGAGACGATCCTGAGCTGCGCGCACTAATAGAGCACCTGGAAGGGCGCGGGAGTACCATGCCACGTGTTTTTTCACGAGCGCTGCCGACCTTCGCCATTAGACAAGGTGTACTCTACAAAGAGAACTTCGGGAACAACAACTCGCCATGGCTGCTGGTAATCCCGACCGACCTTCGGGAGGAGATCTTTCAAGCCTGCCACGACGACCCGACGTCCGGACACCTTGGTTACAGCCGGACCCTGGCACGTATTCGTGAAAAGTATTACTGGCCCAAGCTCCCCAAAACCGTCCACCTGTACACGCGATCATGTCATGAATGCCAACGACGAAAGAAACCTCCGACGAGGCCGGCCGGACTCTTGCAGTCAATTCCTCCGCCAACAGCACCCTTCCAGCAGATCGGAATAGATCTACTTGGCCCTTTTCCGCCGTCGACGTCGGGAAATCGCTGGATCATCGTCGCCACAGATTATCTCACGCGGTATGCCGAAACGAAAGCCCTTCCTTCCGGAACTGCTGTGGAAGTTGCCAAGTTTTTCATTGAATCCATCGTCCTCCGGCACGGCGCTCCCGAAGTCCTGATCTCAGACCGTGGATCATCATTCATGGCCCAGCTGACGCAAGAAGTCCTTCGTCTCAGCCACACCAGCCATCGCCGCACCACGGCGTACCACCCGCAGACCAACGGGCTAACGGAGAGACTCAACAAGACCATCGCCGACATGATCTCCATGTACGTCGACGTGGAGCACAAGACATGGGACGAGGTGCTGCCGTACGTCACATTTGCCTACAACACGGCCGTACAAGAGACCACCGGAGTGACACCCTTTCAGCTGGTGCATGGGCGCAAGGTAACGACAATGCTGGACGCTATGTTACCCCACGAAGTGGCTGTCGACGCAAGTGACGACGCCCAGGTGGTTGCCCAAAGGGCAGAAGAAGTCCGTCAGCTCGCCAGACTTCGGATTCAGGCTCAACAACGTGTCGACACTGGCCGCTACAACCTTCGTCGTCGGGACGTCCACTTCCAGCCCGGAGACAGGGTGTGGGTGTGGACACCGATTCGCCGCCGCGGTCTCAGCGAGAAGCTCCTGAAACGTTACTTTGGACCCTACAAAGTGCTTCGTCGACTCGGGGATCTGAACTACGAGGTGATGCCCGACGGAACACGAACATCGTCACGCCGCCCACCACGACCTGAGGTCGTCCACGTCGTGCGCCTGAAGCCGTACTACGCTCGATAGGACTGTGGACCTTTTGTGCTCCAAAAGACTCTTTAGTTTATCGTTCTTTTTTATTTTGATTTGTTTTACACTGCATCGGGGCGATGCACTTTTAAAGGGGGGAGTAATGCCGCGCGCAAGGCTGAGAAAGCAACGCTCGGTCGCGGTCCTCCAGAAAGCTCCCGTTTATTCATGTACCGCCCGTAACTTCTATCATTTATCCTGCTTTTGTTTTCTAGAAAGTGCGTGTTCATTCTCGCCCCGATCACGCGACGCTCGAACCGCTTTCGCCGAATCTTCGAGATAGCGACGCACTCTAGATAAGAGGCCGCCCGCGACCTTGTCGAGTCAGTCTCGCCCCAGCGCTCGATTCTGCTGACACGCCGACTTCGACGCCCGCGACGCTCTGCTTTCTTCTGTTTCCTTCTTTATTTTTTGGCACAAGTTCGCCACATTAAACGTTTATTTATTTCTGTTTATTTCTTGTTTATTGGTCACGAATCACCACCCGTGACAATAGCAAGTAGTTCGATATAGCAAAAAAGTATTTACAACGAACTTCCGCGATGAGTTTGTTGTAAGGCGAGAGCTTATCTTTCTTTCTCATCTCTTCGCTTCTGCCTTGTAACAACGCGCTAACAATTTTTTTGTCCCCTTTTGGCGTTTTGTCATTTTTGCCAAATTTGACGGTCTGAATAGACGAAGTTTAAATAATAGAAAACTTAATAATTTTATAGAGGTTAGTAGTCTCTAGTGCTAATATTTGCAACAATTAGTTCAATTATAGAAACTATATATTGCGCATCAAAAATCTACAAACCTGGCTACTTTCAGAGTTTTACTTTATATTTGCGATTTATTATCCGAGTGTTTTTAAGATATAGCCTTTAATTTTTTTTATATAATCACATTAGGATCTATTTTCTGTATGTGATTTGTTACTCTATCAAGAAAAATATTTACAATGCTTCGAGCATGTCACAAGGTAAAAAGGTCCGCACCTTTACCTTAAATATTTTTTAATTTAGGTGAAGCATTTTACATCATGTCATCATGTTTTCCCCTTAAAACATGTTGCATTATTTTGTTTCTGCCAAAAATACTGGGCTTCAAGATGTACCTTCCTGACCGACTTTTTTGACGCAGCTCGCAGCCTCGGTTACTCTTGCGTTTTCGTTTTCGTAATATTCTCTTTTGATAAGTTGTGCCCACGTGTAAATTTCAGGCATGCGACATTATAAATGGATAGATTAAGTGCACCCATAGACTCCCGAGAGTGGTTGGAAGCATCTATAGACATTTTTCATAGGGGCGCCGCCATCTTGAATTGTCACTTCCAGTATGGGTGAGGACAAAATAGTAAAGCGTTTCAACCTGTAACCAGTAAAAAAATAGAGGGGAGCCAAAACGAGAATGTGTGACGGTTAGGCTTATATCCTAAATGTCTTCTATTGGCGTGGCGACGGCAAAGTAATGTTTTCGCCCATACTGGAAGTGACGACAATTCAAGATGGCGGCGCCCTTGTGGAAAAGGTCTATATGCACCCGTCTTGTGGCAGGCCCGCCTTTGCAGAGCCGTATATGTAGAGAGTTTGGCCATTCGTTGGGAGGTATAGGAGACAAATGAAGCGGCGCCATTGGCCGAAAACGGGCTGTGCGTGTTCCAGGGCGTCTTCAGAAATACGAATGTGACCAACCAGAAGCCGGAAATAATACCCTGGCGGTGTTCGCGAGAAACAAACCTGATAACTGCATTGGAGTAACTCTCGATGGCTGAAAATATGGTACACGTGATGTTTCAATCACACTCATCTAAAGTGATGGTGGAAGAGTGCGACTAGCGAAAAGATCGACATAATCCTTACGCCAAACGCCGAGCGCCGGGAATCTGCCGTCAGAGCGGTCACACTCTGTCCGCGCAAAACAGAGTTGAGCGGCGCATTCGTTTCTTACATCTTTCTGCGTGATCATGATGAAACAACACGTGCACCCTATTTTCAACCACAAAGAGTTACTACACTTCACTCTTACGCACTTATTAAAACCATATACGAACAGAGACCTTCTATGCCTTCGATGATCGATCGGCTGATTCGGCTCAGAACTGTTTCTCGCTACCACCGCTAGGGGATTCTTTTCGGCTTCTGGTTGGTCAAGAGAGCATGCCAAGCCCTCTTTCCGAGTCTGCCGCACGCCCTGGCTCTGCCCGCGCCTCCCATTGACCAAACTCTCTACATATACGGCTCTGCGCCTTTGTGCTCGTTCCATAGGTCGATGTATTTTAGACGGAGACAAAATAGGGCAACGTGATTTTAATAGAACAACAACATGGCGACATGCTGTAGAATGCTTCCCCTAAATGTTTTTCAAATCAAAGATGTTTTTGTTTAGTTACAAATTGAAGTTGCAGAATGTTTTACCTTGGGACATATATCTGAAGCGCCGTAAATATTTTTCGTCGTGAACTAAAACGTACAGGTGGTAGACTGTCATGCGAATAATAGTATATTAAAAAAATTCCAATGCTCTATCTCAGAGACACTAAAATAATAAATCGCAAAAATAAAGGAAAGATGTCAAAATAACCAAGTTTGTACATTTTTTAATCGCAATATATAGTTTCCAGAATAGACCGATTTCACCAGCCAGTTTCGTTATGCCATCACTGCTGCCATGCAACGAGGGAACTTTAGTCTTTCTGCACGTGAGACGACCTTGCCGAAGCGCCGCACGTGCCAAGCACGACGCAGCACGAGGCGTCTCGAGAACTGTCGTCTGCCTCCTTGGAGCTTGGAACTAAAGTTATGGCGGCGTCACGCATGTGCCCAACGCTTGGCAAGATCGGTCTATCGTACAAGCTGTTTTCGATATTAGCACCGTAGACTCAATTACTCAATTTCTAAGTGAGAGCTAAAAAAAAAGGAAATAAACTGTTTCTCTCTACCTGCACCACCTAACGGTATAACAGGTTTAATCCATTATAAAACAATAAAAATTGGGGTCGTAATTGGCCAAACGTTTCTTTAGTTCTTTAGGCTTTGGAACGAACTTGGAGAATTTAGGGGGCATTTATGATTATTTGCGTAGCTGCTATCTTTATAAAATTTTTGAGTTTTCTATCATTTGTACTTTCTTCTTTTACGTGCCATCAAGCTTGGCAGAAATGACAAAACGCCAAAAGAAATTTGCCACTTTAATGCAGTCTCAATTTTTTTCTCGACAAATACATTTTTTTTATACTTTTCATGATTTCTTTTTTTTTTATACGTTGTTGAAATTGTTGCACACATTTTTTCTCTACATTGATTGTCACGAGCCCGAATTGAATGCTCACGCGGTGCTCGCGTCCATGTTTGAGCCGTATTTAAGATATTGTCGCCGCAAGGTTTGCAAAGATAAGCGACGAAATCCCAGGGATGGCATTGTTGGCTCCACCAAAGATGCTTTTATCCTCTGAATTATGCCGCGACCGAAAGCTTCTCGGTCAGTGGCGTTGCGCGTGAGTATACTCTGATCCCACTAGGGCCAGTAAGCTCGTGTAAAGGGAGAAACATTTGTGCAATGTCATTGCACAGGCGAGGTTATTTCGACGAAAGGACAAATGTCTGGAAATGAAATGTCCCACAGGGCGAGCTGGAGGGCTCCAAGCTGTACCGGCAGCTCCTGCAGCGGGCCAGGGAACACTTCGTGCGAACGTTTGCGGCCGGGCCTTCGGACGCCGTGGACGGCTGCGCCAGGGGTCGGCTGCCTGCTGCGGCACGCGTAGCCAAGCTCCTGCGGAGCGTCGACGTCAACGTCGAGAAGCTCAGGGAGGAAGCCCGGACGCTGAAGCCACCCGACGGTGAGCCACCCATGTCGAAAGCTCCGGGGTCGTTCTGCAAGGGCGATTCCAGTCAATATCCTTTCGTTTGGGATTGCGACTGTTTTCTGCTAAACCGGCGTCCCCGATTTACGAGGTACAGTCGCCGACCGATTTTTCAAACGCCGACAGTTCGGACTCGTTCGATATTCCGGGCCTAAAGGAGGAACCGTGACCTCGATAGCAATAGTGCATATTCACGAACGATGTTTTGGGCAGCTTGAAGTCGGAAAGTTGGATTTTCTGGGCAAAAACGTCGCGAGCTGTCGGCGGGAAATGCCACCGAGAAGCTGCCGTTTTAGATTCTATCTTGGCTGCAGGTGGATTGGCTCAATTTGGCGGCACTATTTGATTACCTCCAAATCCTGCTGCCGGTATAATTTGTTTTTTCGATATTGCTCATAGTTTTATAACTATGGCGGCTCAAAGTTTGGTTTCGGGCGTCTACGGGAAAACCGAAAATAGCTAGAGGGGTGGCAACACTGATCGTCAGCTGTACGGCCGCGACATCCCGTCAATGTGGTGCTGCGGCACGCGGTCCAACCAATCAACCGCAGCTCCACCGCAGTGTGACGTCGCGGGGGTGCGGCACAAGTGTTCCTCGACTAAAAGCTAACCCGCTTGCCACCCGCTAAAGGGCTGCTGGTCGCATTTTTATAATCGGTTTTAGCGAAGTACGCAGCTTCACTTGGACGTAATATTTCGGCTGCAATCTTATTTTGTGCCACTATAGCGAAACCGGTGATTCATTTTGTTTTTTGTTTTCGACCGGGGTTTCTTTCGCATTATTTATCGTCAAGAAATCAGGATAGACAAATTAATATTTGAAGGCCCCTTTCTACACGTCCGGTAGAAGTGATAGTGTTTTCAAAAGCTGAGAAATTCCTTTTAAAGGTGAGCGACATTCTTTTTTCTTTTATTTCTGCTTAAACTGCATCTGTTTTGGAACTCTCTTCCGTCACGCACAGTCCCTGTCGCATCTAAAGACGCCTTTTTTCGCTCGCTAGACACGTAATCCTTTTTGCACTCTTGCATTCGACCTTCGCCATACAGCAAAGGTCGAATAAAGAGAGGACGTATGGATCTATGGGGCGAGAACGGCAGGGCGTTTCTTTCTCTCGAGCACACGCTCGTCGCCTTCTGATTGTGCATTCACGCTCGAGGCGCCACAGCGTAGTTGGAAGCTTGACAGACCTCCCTTTTCACGCCAACTGGCGATGCCTTGATGGCGACGCAACATTCGGTGCCTCCTTTTCGAAAGTCCACAGTGGTGACCCTGTGGCATCGCGGCACGCGAGCCACGAGCCGCACGGATGCAGACAGCTGCAACACCGACGGGGCGGCAAAAGTGCTGGACGTGACGAGCGGCACCGCCAGACTAGCGTTGCGCGATACGTGTAAGGCGTTACGAATTGAGGAGCCCGCACTTGGCAATGTGTAACTTTCAGCGTAGGTGTATTTCAACGGTGGATCTTGCCTCACAAAGTTTTGGGATGCAGCTCCGCTCTTGGAAAAAGTCGGGAGCAACGGGCTTCAACCATAGGCGCAGCATGCAGACAACAATGCCGTCGTCTGCATGCTGCACCCGCCGGGAGCATGTCGGAGCATCCGTTCGTTTTATAATGACGAAGGCGTCGAGTCAGCGACAGGAGACGATGCAGGGGCGAAATAAAGTCTCCCGCTCCTTTGTGCTTCTGTAGTTGAAATTCTATCCATGTCTCGTAGCTTCTCAAACAGTAAAAAGTAGCGACTTCCAGCGTGGCTTTTCCGAAGCTCGCAGTTACGAACAACTCGAGCACCGTGCCTTTGTGGAGCGGAGCGAACGAGTAAGCGTCGCTCGTGTTTTGCAGACGAACGGTGGATGGAGATTGGTCCACGGGACTTGGATCGCCTGCTGGAGAGCTACGCCAGTCGCGGAGGTGGTGGCAACCACAAAGAGGCGTCCGACCATGACAGGTTTGTGGGAAGTTTGGCATCGTTTGCGACTCGGAATCGGCCATCTCCCTTCGAGTTGTTTGCCGCGCGGCGCAACAACGAGCTTTGTAATCTGCAGCTTCAGTTCTCCAGAATCGAGTGAGGCATTTTCGCTTCGCTACTTGACATCTACATTAAAAAATTTGTGGGACCTGACAATATTAGAAACACATTTTTAAAGCATTATGCAGAATGGGTTTCCAAGTACCTTTTCGTTATTTATAGCGTAAGTCTAGAAAAGCAGGAGGTACCTTCAGACTGGCTGGCAGCGAGGGTCGTACCACTGCATGAATCTGGAGACGAGCACTCCATCGAAAATTATAGGCCAATATCACTTATGTGTGCACGCTGCAAGTTGCTCGAGCATATTGTATCCAAAGAGCTGTATAGTTTTCTTCCACAATCAAATGTGCAATGAAAGACCCTGCAGCTCGATTTATTACATCAATCTATTCCTGCAACATCAGTGTAACACAACTTAAACAAACGCTAAAACTTCCCATACTGTCTGACCGCAAACTAACATCTCGAATGTGTCTCATACATAAATTTTACCAGAAAAAGACGTGTCTATATGACGCCCTTTTTTTACCTCCCGATAAGATATCATCTCGCCTCAATCGCAGTCGCTGCATCGAACGTATAACGGGCGAAACACTAGCCTTTAATTAATAGCTCATTTTTCCCGCAGTCTATATAACCATCTGGAACTCCCTCCCAGAGGAAATAGTACTTATATCAGAACCATCTATTTTCCGGCAGTCAGTCACCTTACAGCTGTGCTAACCACCACTGTCCTACCCGATTGTAAAATTCATTTTTCGACACGCGTGTCCCACCCAAACCGTTTAAAAAAATTTTTCTTTTCAGTAGCTTTTCAAAAAGCAACTCTGCTTAATTTTGGGTTTTGAAAAAAGCAATGCAGTCCTCTTCAGTATCGCCTAGGAAGACCACACGTCAAATATTGCAACCTAATTCTGTCTAAATGTTTCTTAAACAATCCGGCAAACTTTGCAACTCGCCAAGTTGCCGAAATTGGCTGACTCGAGCGGACGAATTGAGGCGCAACAACCAACAGCGCAGTCAAGGCTACGGCGTTGGCGTAGCCAGCATTGAACAAAACGTCATCACATCGCCCCTTTTTGCTCGTTTTTGCTTCTCCGGGCAAGCGTAATGGGTGACATCGGCAACGTTTCTCCTCGGCACTCAGCAGTGTCCACGTGATTGGTGCAACGCGCCTGCGCATCAGCGCTCTTCTTGGAAGCCATTCGATTGTTGCACCGTGGTCCCGCCATTACCGCCGTCTCCCGCGTCACAACCTCCGTCGTCGTCCCTCCAATTGCGATTACGGTGCAACCCACTTATAACGATACCACACGTAACAACGTACCGCATATAACGATCAGTTTCTAAAGTTTCTACTCTAGAAATGCTCAGTTTCTAGTCCAGATACAACGATAATCGGTTATACCGATTGAATTTTCGGGTTTTCTCATTGTCGTTATGAGTGGATTGCACTGTATTACGACCTTCAGAAAACACGGCAACACGAAAGGTAGCAATGAAATGGCGCCCAAAGTGCGTCGTTTGAGAGCGTGCTGTCTTCGGAGGTTCACTATCACGTTTACGTGACCACTCGGGCAATTAGAGGCAATGAAATTAAGAAGGATGACAAAGCGAATTAAGAGGAATCAAAGTGAATTAAGTAAATCGTGTGTCTGTCTTCAATGCATCGGCGCCTGGGCTTTTGCCTTCAAGTCGTCTTGGGGATAAAATAAGAGACCCTGTGAATTTTCTCTCTTGGGTTTCGTTCACAGTCTGGATACCATGTGCGCAGGCTTATGCCGCAGTTGCACGGATGTCATCGAATGTCGTAGACACCAAGACGTGGTGAAGAGTGCGGTGCAGGCGACACTTGCGCTTGGCACACGCCCGCCCGTCGTTGTGTAGAGGATCACGTGGCGTCTCATACCACATAAATAGTCAAGTTCTTAACAGCCCGAGGCCCATGTCGTAACCGAAACTTCGGACAGAGCCGAAGTTTCGGTTACAATTTTCGCTTGTGTTTAAAATTAGATTGAGCAATGTATATCCCATTTTTCGTGAAGCAAATTACGTTTTGTCTTTTATTAGTGCTTTTAATGCGAAATCACTCATTATCCTGAAATTTTCTGAATTGAGCAGAGTTGCCCTTTAAAGGGATACTGAACCAAAGAATTGAGTGCCCATAATAAGTGGCACACATTCTTTCCACGAGCCAGCAGCCACCAGTGTGCGCGAGCACACGCAACAAAAATGACGTCAAAGACCTCCATTCGCGCTTACGAGGACACTGAAAGGCATGGGCTTCGGGCCAAAGGAGAATAAAGACAGGCTTTTCATCTCTACAAGTGAAAGCTACGTGCTTGTTGGACCAATTAATCGCTTACCTTTTACACCAGACACCAATGTGTAGATGAAAAACTTGTCTTTATTCTCCTTTGGCCCGAAGCCCATACATTTCACTGTCATCTTAACCGCGAAAGGATGTCTCCGACGTCATTTTTGTTGCGTGTGCTCGCGCGCACCGGCGGCTGCTGGCTCGTGGAAAGAATGTGCGCCACTTATTATGGGCACTCAATTCCTTGGTTCAGTATCCCTTTAAGTAGAAATTAATTAAATAGAAAAGTGTTTGAAAAGTGCTTGAGCCAGCTGTACATTGGAAGTTAACTGTCCCTGTCATTATGATTTATTTTTTATGTGTATTGGCTACTTTTCTTTATGGGAGATTTTACACTCTCAGTTCAACTTTGGTATGTCATCCTTATATAGGACGTGTCTTTTTTATGTGTATTTACTGCACTTGTTGTTTCCTTTTACACTTGTGTGCTCTCACTGCAGTTTGTCTTTTTTTTATTACGTGGCGTGTTAGGTAGGAAGTCTCGTTTTTTTTTTGTTTTTTTTTCATGCATACCTTTACACTCCTGTACAGCTCTAAAGGGCTAACGGTATAAATGAATAAATAATAAAATAAAAAATTGACGCTTCACGGGAGAATAACTCGCGGGTACTCGTTGTTACCTCAAAGAGTAGCATTCCTTTCTGCTTTCCTATTTGCGTTTTGGTTTGTTTTGGCGGAGAAAGTGCAGTTTGTAGGTGTGGCATATGCAAAACACAATGTTGTCCTTGAAGCGTGACGTTGTTTGCAGAATACGACGTCTTCCGCAAAACGCAATTATGTTTGCAAAGCACGATGTCATCCGCAAACCATGATGTTGCCTACTATAAGATGTAACGGGAAACACAATGGTACGCGTTCATTTCAATGAAAAGATTCGCAAGAGACGTCATTATGTAAGCTTTCTTTCGGAGTAAGCAGACGCCGACCCGCTTGAGAATAAGGGCACGTTGCTTTGGGCCGTGTGCCGTAAAGCTGGTTCGAGCATTTGCGACCCACTACGACCGACTCTGACGGCTGGTTTTAAAGCCACCCACAACCGCCATCGCCTCTGCGCAGCCAGTTCTAAGCAGTGGCAAGTGGCTGAAGAACAGGTTGTGTCCTGTTCTTAAGGAACGTGCGAAGCAGCCCTTCAAACTTGGAATCTCTCCCCACAAGAGAGCAGACTGGTGCCATCTATCGAGTATCCGTGGAACAGTTCCATTCTACTATTTCCTTTTCTGTTTTTGAGCATCATTCTTTTTTGATGCGAAAAACTTTTGACAATGTTATAAACCCCTGCATACATTTGATCTCGCAAACAGCGGAAAGCCTCGGGTCTAGTGAAATTCAGTTTGACGGTCACCTCACGGGAGCCTGCCAGTCTGTCCTCTCCCGAGAGATTACGAGAACGTCGTGAAAAGGCCTTTATTCCCTCCGCACGATTAGAAGAGGGGCACGAAACGAGATCTTCCGCTCGCTCCACTCCAGGAACAGCGTCGACGAAGAAGCTCTGGGGACCAGAATAGCAGACGGTGTCAAAAACTTTGTCCGTCACGTGTCGGACTACGAGGGGGCGGAGCTTCCGTCGGGGGCAGCGAGGCGGGGCAAGTCCGGGGCGGCGGCCAACGGAGCCAAAGTGGACTTGGACGCGGACGGATTTGCGGATGCGGTCAGCGCCATCTTGGGTGAGATTTTGTTTTTCTCGTCGGCGTGAAAAGCTGCAACTGCGTGTCCATTTGCGTCGCGCTTGTTTTTAGCTTTCTACGGAGGCACGGTCTTTGCTTCTTTATTTTCACGAAGCAAATGCAGCACCTATAGTCATTGGCGGAGTAAGAACGACGGAGTGCGTCTTTGGAACGCCTTCAGATCGCGATGCGTGCCTTACGTTGTGCCGTGGAGGCACGCTCGAGGTGCATGAGGCTCCAAAGCTTCGTCCAAGGTGGCAAGCTCCTTCTTTTCATTCTCACCAGGGACTATAGTTGCACATTTGCGGGGCATTATAGATGCCCACCATTCAAACCAGCCTTTTCCAATCTATTTGAAGCGCGTTAGATACATCTGCTTATCGCCTCGGGGAGAGAACGCGTCGTAACGCATCTTCAAGAACTCGGCCTTAAGTATTTCTTTGCCCACTCTGTTCCACCTCCAGACTTCAGGCTTCCTCCGTCGGACGACGACTCGAGCTCCTCCATGAGCAGCTACGGAGACGAAATGGACTTCCATGGTAAGTTCCGCCCGCCGTACCGTCTGCTCGTACCGCCTCTGAGTGCTGCGCGTGTGATTCGGCCTTGTCTGAGACGGACCGGACTACAACTCGATCGAATGTGTGGACGTGGGCTCGGATGTCTTACAAACTACGCTTCGTAACTTGGCTTACGGTAAGCTCTTCGTACCTAGCCGGGAGATCATGTTTTCTACAGATTGGGAACAAAGTATGTACCAACTGAAGTTTCGTCCAAAGATACGGTAGAGCCTCCTTGATAGGGTTTTCGGGAGACCGGGGAAATCAAACGTACGATTCTGGAAAATGTCAGAGACGAGAGCTGCATTTGGGGGGTGCTGGGGACGAGACAGAGAGCAGCAGTCGCGAGATAATTTGTTTTACGCAAACATTCGTAGGTGTGAACTACAAATGGCTCAGGAAAAGTTTGTAAACATTTGTAGATGTTAACTGAAGTAAACGTACCATAGAAGTTTGTAGGTGCAATTTCAAATACGCCCAAAACAAGTTTGTAAACATTTGTCCTCTCGAACTCGAATACGTTCGGAAGAAACTCGTGAATTTCCACCCAGCGCTTTGGAGATAGGCTTTGACAGGATGCATTGTACCGAGACCATAAATATATCGTCGCGCAACCGAGATTTCGTGTTGCACGTCGAATATCGATAAGTCGCGCGTTGGGACACGATCCTTCTTCCGCTCGACCGGCGTCTGAGCGCTCCTTCCGACGGCAGGGAGGAGAGCAGACTCGGACGACCACTTGGAAGACAGCGACGACGAGGAAGCGCCTCGACCCGGCGACCCTTCCACGCTGGACATGCGGAGCTACATGGACCTGATGGACCGGGAACTGGCCGGCACCGACGTGGGGCTCAGCTTTGAGCGGGAGCCCCCAGCCAGACCCCCGAGGCGTCGCCCCGCACAGGCAAGTGACCGCTCGGTTCGCTGCCACAACTCTCATCCGGTTACGGTGCCTGGAAAGTGTCTCCGAACAGTGCGTTGCTCCCACGCATTGGACGTGTACCCCAAGTGGCAACGAGTGAAGCCGGAGTGTCGTACCGTCGGAGTGTCATGCACCGGTCGGAGATACAACCGGTCCGTTTACCGGAGACACGTTCCAGGCTCCGCAGTTTGGTACCGGTGTCGCCTAGAGCCACCGTACGTGGCAGCTTTGGTAGCCAGTGTAGCGCTACGCTTTTCCCCGTGCCACCTCTCGTCACGATCGGTCCAGCGTGGTACCGTGGCAACCGGCCAAGCAGGCTCAGTTTCCATGGTAACCAGTGGAGCCGAAGGAGGCCGACAATTGGTTAGGTGGCGTCGGGATATTTCGGAGTGCCACCCGCACGCCCGTCGTCCACTCCTTTCTCTTCTCGAGTCGCCGGCGCACGTCCCCGCGTGCATCAAACGTACGGCGAGTGAGGCGCTCACGACTCGAGACATGCTCGCGCCGGCGGGCCAATCACACTTTTACGCGGCTTTTACTCGGTTTTACCGATCTTTACCGCGTTTCGACAAACGGGAGGAGAGGTGAAATGGGAGCCGTGCTAACGAAGAGGCTGCCGGGCACTGCCAGACGCTCGGTTAACGTGGCAACCTTTGGGCCCGAGACAAAAATCCCCATCGGCACTTTTGGAATGCACACCTACCGGGGGTGGCGCGACCTCAAAAGCGACGCGTAGCACCACGTGCCCCACTGCTAATTGAACCCGCGACGCCTCGATTGCGAGCTCTACACTCTACCTCCGCGCCAATCGGTGAGTAGACGCACAACTGGCCGGCTTTGCGAACGCGATGCCTCTTCGGCGTTATGGCGTTCGTGTTCGCTTCGGAATGGTGTATGGGAAGAATTGAGAAACTCAACACGTGCCTACCGTCGCATATTAAAGGATGGGGTTTGGAATTAAATAATGCACCATTAACGAAAAAAAGGACTGCAATGCCCACCGCAAACTTTAAAGAATGTCACAGGAACTCGTTCGACGTATACCGATTTCGTCCGTAGGGTCGAGATAAATCTAGAATTTTTTCATTTTCTAATCGCGTTTTTTTTTTCGAGTTCCCCTTTTCTCGTCTCTCTCCTCAAATGTGAGAGTTTTAACCGTCGACTGGCCGGCACAGTTTTTGTTCTCCGCTTTTAATGCAGAATGTTTTTTTCTTTTCCTACGAGAAAATCGTCACGAACGAGCGTCGTGAATGGGCAGCGTTACGCGCCACTTAAATGTAAAGTTTATAGGGCCGGGTCGGCTCACTCGGAGGCTATAGCCATTGAGCTGCTTATCGCAGCTGATCTTTAATTGGGCTCCCGTCAAGAGGTGCCGGAGAAAGCGGCGCAATGTCAAACACCTGACCGCTCACCTCATTGACGTCACGCATCGCGCGGGAGCCATATAAGGTAGCACCCGTGCAGCACACTCCTTCGCCGTGTCTCGCCCGGGCTAACATCTGCGGTGCACGACGAAAAGACCGGCACAAACCGCATTTAGAGTGTGTTTCGTGCTAGAGTCCCGTGTGCTTGTGCGAAATGTGTTCCGCGCGGGACGCATTTCGTGCTCCCTGGTCTTTGTCAACGCGATTGAGTGAACGAGCTTTTTCTCTTTTCCACCTTTACGAATGTGCATGCCTCCCCGGTCTTTGAGTTTTAGTGAGGACGCCAGCTTCGACTTATTCCCGACTCTGTTGCCGCGAACGTTCCAACAGGCCAAGAAGAAAGCTCCCGTGGCCGCGCCGGAGAGTGGCGGGGAAGAGGCGGACGACGAGGAGGCGAACGAGGACGACTATCGCCCGGTGGACGTGGACCTGACCGCCCTGAAGAACATCCTGGAGTCGTACGGCGGCCAGGAAGGGCTGCCCGGGCCGGCGGGGAACCTCCTGTCGGCCATGGGCATACGGGTGCCTCGAGACGCGGACCCCTAGGCACCACCCCATCTGGACGTCCCCACATGTCGGCGGACGACCGTGCGTGTTCACAGTGTGTGTTCGTGAGGGCTGGAGCACGGTGTGGGATATATATATACGGGTGTTAACTGTCCACGCATCGCAGCTACCGGATAAAGTCCTCACCGGATGACTCTGCGATGATTGGCTGGAGGTAGCCTGTCGCGAGACCAGATTTTCACGCTTCTCTGTGTCAGACACGCTTGGTTTTAAAGTAGCTTTCTGGGTGTGCCGTGTCATGTACAGCTTGGCACTTACACTATGCGTGTGGCTTAGACACAGCTTCGTCATTCATCGCAGTTTTGTACCTCAGCGGTGGCAAGAACAGTTTTATGATGAGATTGAAGCGAAGAGATCTCTGACACGACATTGGAGGCAGCGTCCGTCGAGGTTGGTGCGGACGCGCCGGGCAGCGGGTGCATGCGTGAACATGCCACATAAAAAATACACTTTTTTTTTCTTCTGGTTAGCAGAGATGCCGTCAGAGTGGGCTACTGGGCCACATGCCAATAAGACTTTGACTTTATCCGGTCAATCACGTTGCAGCATTCACCCTGCTGCACGTCCGCTATATGTATCTTGCGCCGTGAGCCGCTGTTCGGATCGAAAGCTCTCCGGTCTCCCGGACATTTCCGGAAGGTTTGAGTCCCCCAGATGCACTTAGCAGACGCAAAACTCGGGTTAACTTCCAGCATTTCTTGTCCGCTTTGTTTCGTTTTGACTTTCTTGAGTAAGATGCACCTTCCGTCCAGTTTCAGCTCCGTCTAGAATCGGTCCGCTATAGGCGGGACGAGGGCAGCGGGAGTTCCGGTCGCCCCCGCCTCTAGCGCGAGCTTTTTGCCTTCAGTGGCGCTTTGGCGTCTCGTCGGCCTCTAGCGTGCGGGCGCAGCCGAAGCGCAGTCAAAGGCAACGAGCACCTGCCGAAGGCCGAGTGTCAGAACCCCGTTGTCCTCACGTTATCGCTGGCTTTAGGGGCGACCGTTTGTAGACGTCCATGATCCTGTTTTCCCCCACATCCTTTCCTGACTCTTGCTTGTGAAGCAGTCTTCTCGAGTTCCCTCTTTGCATGATCTGTTCCCCAACTTCATTAGCCACGGGGCAGACGATGTTGGTTTGTACTGCAAGATGGGCATTCTCCCAAAATGTCTCGTGCCTTCTTCGATTCCCCGTGATGTGTGCGGAGCTAAACAAGGTTGCTCTCTGCGTTTGTTTCGGGCGTCTTTCCACGGGTCTCTGTACGAGGTGGGAGAATAGCTGAGTCAGCACACAATTTTACTAGTTTGCAGATTTGATGCCGTGTGCCCCTGGCGTTCGCCCGTCGTAATGCTGCTTGTTTCAACATTCGGGTTCCCAGACTACGTTGAACCCAACCACCTTCAAACCACCTTTTCATCTGCAAGATTTTTCATGCGCATTTAATTGTAAGTTCTAAGTCATTCAATTTCTGATGATTCATTGAATCTTTTGGGGTGTTGTTTTTGTAGACTTCTACAGCATGCGCCCAAAGATGCGTTGGATCCCTTAAACGACCCGATAAATTGGTTCGTTAATTTATTTATTTGCTACGGAGGTTCAGGGTGTTTCTCTGCACTATTTGGGTGTACAAGCATTTGTATAAATGAACTGATTGCAATTAAACTTTTCACTAAGGTGTCTTTAGCTGGTGCACTTATCACACTCATGTTTCAAGAGTGTAAAGATTCTTGTTTTTTTTCTATGCGTGGGAAAAACAAAAAAAAAGTCATGTGGTTGATGCCTCCACTCGCAGATGAAGCAATATAAATCAAAAGCGTGAAAACTTTTTTGAGATACAAATACATGAAAGGGTAACACATTGAGGATGGGGACGCAAACAGGACTTCTTTCATATGAAAGAAGTCCTGTTTCTGTCCCCGTCCTTGATGTTTTATCCTTTCAGGTATTTGTATCTATTCACCAACACGTTTTTAATTTTCTTTGAGATGAACACCCGGAAGAAGATCCAGCAGATCTGAGCGTCTGTGGTGCCATCTTTGAGTAGCGGTGCAGCCAGATAGTTTTTATCATTTTCCTCCTGCACATTAAACAAAAATGTTTTTTTGGCTGAAACATATTTTCTGAGACCCATTATAAAATTTGAGTAGGATAAATACACCAGCTAAAGGCACCGTAGCGAAAAGTTTCACTGCAATCCTTCCATCGATTTATTTATACAAAAATGTTTTTACACCCAAATAGCGCTCAAAAACACTTTATAGTTTATTTATTGTGTCAAAATTTCGAAGAAAACTTTTTTTAGTAAAAAGTCCGGAAATAAGAATGTTTTTTGCCCAACCTGCAGTCTGTCTGCAATCGTCACGCATTTGATTGGCGCAACAGCTGACAGACGGCGGCAGTGATCCACGAAAGGCTAGTAACTTGGACGACTATCTCTTTTTTATTATTATTGATTTTCTGTCTATTTAATGCATTTTATTAGTAAGAGTGACACAGTCAATCACACGCTGACAACCAACACGAAAAAAGCATGCGCCCTTATTGACTTCTCGATCTGCCATCTTCAGTGAATTAGAGCCTTTGCGAGGAAAAGGTTGCGACCAGTGATCTCTATTGTAGTAGGCTGGATCGCGGATCGGGAGCCATTGCTTGACACCAGGCAATACACGCAAGTTTATGGGAGAAACGCACAAAAGTAGGAATATTAAAGCATGTACGCTGTGCTCGGAGGCGAGTATCTTATGGTGTGCTGCGATCCTTATGTCAGGTGTTGAGAGATTGAATCGGTATTTGTCGAACGTCCCGTCGCCAAATAAAAAAATCAAACGTACAGGAGCACCCGCGGCCGAGCTGGCAAACTTGCTCTCGTATTGGAATAAACAAAGGAGCTTGCCATCAATGAGACCGTCCTCGGGGAAGCCCAGAAGTTGATGAATGTCTAAAACGTTCAATGTTGACTGCGGCTTTCCGGGGGTGAGCGAATTCCACAAGGCAAGGCCCTCAAGTTTGTCGTCTGCTAAGCCAAACTTGTTGAAACCGCCACCGACTCCGCGGTAACTCTAGTTAACTCTCGTCTCATTAAGCTGCACTACATTTCTCACCCAGCGGAGTCACACTCTACCACAAAACATTTATTTATAAGAACTGCGAGGGCTGTCAGTTTTAATGTTTGTACACGTGCTATTAGACAGGCTTCCCGAAAAGCAGTCAAAGTTTCGGTGCCGATACAAGCTTAGAAGCGGAGGAAACGGCACTTTTTTTGTTCTTCCCATAGGGTCCCATGCGTTTGGTGGCGACACTTGGCCCCAGCTGCCGAGGCCGCGGTCCGCGATCCAGCCTACTACAATAGAGATCAGTGGTTGTGACTTGTAAAAGGACTGCTGCCCCCACCTATCAGTTATTGCATCAACTAAACGCAAGTCGTAATGTCCATAGATGGAGAAAACACACTTATATTTTTTTTTTTTTTATGTCTGCAAGTGTGTTCTTTGCTCTCGATGCGTCGCCTGTGGGCACCTCTGTATGGTAAATCGTAGGGTGATATCTCAAGAAATCAAAGTGTGCAGTCCCGTCAAAAGGCCATTGTGTTGACGCCATGGTTTGAAAATGCTGCCAAATGTCCTTCAGGGTACACATGCCTTCAGTCTTGGTCTTTTGATGGAAGTCATGAAAATTCAGCCTAGAGCATTCATTAAACTTACTCATTGTAATCGTGGACAGATTACAATGTGGAAGTCTGATACTTGCCGAAAAACCATGAGCCTATCTAACCGCTAAGCGTACTTTATCCTTTGTCATACTGAGAAGAAACCAATCGATTGCTGTCTACAGCCTAGGACACCGCCATTGAGTTTCAGATGGGGCAGAGGGGCTGGACATGGCTAAGCCCTTTGAATTGGGGGCAACTTGCACCATCTAGCCAGTGGGTAGGTTCTACCAAGGCTATGGGCAGAGCGACGACACCTTTCTGCAGCAGATGCGACATTGCTTTTGCAACAAATACTGCATTGTTTGGTCATCTTTAGTTTATTATCCACGGGCTTTGGCAAGTGTGTCCAGATTTACTGTCAGACTGAGAAAAGTGACATTCTAGTTGTGGGTAGCAAAGTCCCCACGGGCATGACATAGGCTCTTAAACTCCAGTGTTCTGCTCGTCATCAAACAATGTTGGAGGCATTACGGTGTTGTCTGCTTGTGCTGCGAAACGGCCAACACCGTACACTCAGGAAGCAGAACCTGCTTACTGCCATTTGCTCATTTTAAGGCTGCTGTGTTTAGTGTGTATGTTTAAGTTGCCAGCACTGTTCATTTGAGATTAGAGAAGGCATTGTATATTATAAAGTCTTCTCATCCACTGGCATGACTCTTGTCCTCCTTGAAGTTAGGTCTTGTTCCCATCAGGTGCAGACATCAGTCGACGAAATGTCCCTGGTGCAACTCCACAATCCACGAGAGGAGAATGCAACATTCATCACGTTCAAAAGAATGCCACTTTCGGCAGTTCTCCGTATGTAGTTCTTCGCCTTCGTCTAAACGCTCGCCGATTTTTAAAATTTTAATAACCTACCGTAGTCATGAAATGCACTTCAAGGCTTGAAAACGGATTCCCGCTGGGATTGATGCGTGCAGACTATTTTGAAATGGAATGTTTATTTGCATGAAATTATGTACACTGTAAAAAGCCACTTAAGTGTCGGTAGCTACGCTTAAATGGAAGACTAGTAGAATGTTTTGATTACTCTTTCTGCAGCAGCAGCGTCCTCTAAAATGCGTGCTGTGACGAAAACGGACATTGAAGTGTGGTCCAAACAAAGCTGGCGAAAACAAGAGAATGTTGGAGTATACTTAGCAGGCGTGTCACAACCAAAAACATGATACCACGAGTTAAACCACTGCGGCGATGTCGAAGCATCATAAAATTCACTTCTGCTAACAAAGGACGGCACAAACACATTAAGAAAAAAGGTAGAACAACCGGAAACCTGCTGGCAGTTAAAAACGATGCACGTGCAAAACTTAAAAATATCTTAAAATCTTAAAAACGGCGATAAAATAGAAGAAACAAAGGCTGTGATAAACTGTACCGGAGATGGCATTGCACTGTGTGGGATCTCTCGGCTCCTGATCTACAATGCTCAACAGGCACTCGGAAAGTGCAGGTTGCATCCAAAGGGGTCAGCATAACGCTAAACTGTCGAGGCTGGTTCACGCACTTGCAGCTGCTTACCACAGGAGAGGCTTATTTTAAGTCTCTCGAGTTGTAAACAGTCGCAAGTGTTTGAACCAACCTTTACACCCACCAGCTGAAACACCCAAGGTCCAAGGTTAGTAATGGAGATGCCTGCCGACGGTCCAATAGTTCAGAGGTCCAGCGGGCCCAGACGCCGCTCGCCCTCGCTGAGGAATATCTGGAAGGCCTTGAAGACGAGAAAGGCCCCGAGCTTCTTGCGCGCCTTCTCCGACCAGGACCCAACGACGCCGTAGCAGTCGCCTTTCTTGGCGTTGGTCAGCCGGCGCTTGGTCAACGCCTCGATGATGCAGGCTTCCCGCGTGTAAGCCTCGGCAGGGAGGACGTTCTGGAAGACGTGCAGCGAGACCACGCCGCAGCCGGCCTCCCAGATTTGCAGGACCTTGCGCGTCTTGTCGCCGGCAGTCTGCCACGCCTTGGCCGTCCCGTTCCAGACCACCAGCGCGTCGTGGAGGTGGCTAAAGGGCCGCGACCGCTTGCCCTTGCCCACGTAGAAGACTCCCCTCACGAAGTCGGACACCTGCTCCGCCAGGGGGAGCCCCCTCGCGCGTACGGGCAGGTTCCGCGTCACCCGGGAGTCCAGGAGGAGGTAGTTGAAGGAGGTCTTGGAGTTGCCTTCCCGCCAGTGCCCCTCTGGCCGCGGCGTCTCGAAATCCAGGACCATCTCCCGCTCGAGTGCCTCGTAGGCGTCCAGCGCCTTGGCGACGTTCGCGACCAAGAAGTGGACGTCGGGCGGCAGGACGTCTCTGGAGGTCTTCAAGGACCGTTCGGAAGTCGCCCTCGCGAGACGCCGGAGGTACACCTGCCTCGTCGCATCCGTGACCGGGCCGGGGTCGTCGCCGAGCTGCTTCAGCCGCTCGAAGACTTGGTCGTTGGTGAGCTTCTGCATGTCCACGGGCACGACCGGTGCGTCCGGCGAAGACCGACCGGACGTCAAGACCTCCGCATCGCTGGACGGGTGGTGCGTCTCCTTGAGGGCCAGTCCGTTGTCCGGATCCTCGTGAACAACCTCGCAGAAATCCGAGTTGGCGTCGCTCGCGAACGTCGAGTCCGGCTGCACGAAGAGAGGCTCGCAGAGTCGGATGCGCGCCTCGCGTCCCATCTCGAGGTGGGCCAGCTTGTGGAGGTTCAGGCTGCGGTTGAAGTCCGTCACCGGGCCGCCGTCTTCGCGGTAGGATAGCAGCCTCTCGCGCAGTTCCGAGTTGCTGAGTCGGAGCAGCTCGGGCGGCACGTTGGACGACGCCGACGACGTCGCGCTGTCGTAGCCGCCTCCCGCCGAGGAACTGTCCATGGAGTCGGCTTCGTCGTCTGTCGCTCGAACGTGGTGTCTGCGTCGCCTGCGGGGCGCTTCGGTGTACGCCGGTGACATGTACGGATGGGGGAAAACGTACGCGGTATTGAGCAGAGACTCCGTGTCGCTGCTGACGTCACTGCAGTCCGGGCTCAACAGGACGGTGGGAGTGTCTTCGAGATGGCCACCGTCGTGGTCGACCTCAGCGGCGTCGGAGACGTCGGAGTCCGAACAGTTGGTAGCAGGCGACGGTTCCAGCGAATCACTCCGCCTCTTCACACCCTTGGAGGTCGGCGCTGCGTCGGAGGCCGGAGACAAGGCAGGCGTACTGGCCGCGGACGACGACCGAAGCGAGTGGCCCTTGGCCGATTCTTCGGCGTCCGAGTCTGGGGGCGACACGGGCAGTCCGAAGAAAGGTCTCACCCTGAGCAGGCACTCGAGGTGTCCGCTGTCGAGCAGCAAGTCGAAGACGTCGTTGCCGTTGCCGTCGTGGAGCCTGGGGTCGCCGCCGGCTTCCAGCAACGTGAGCAGGGACGCCTGGTTGCCGCACGCGGCAGCGATGTGGAGCGCCGTCACGCCGTCCGCGGTGGCGGCATTGGGGTCCGCCCCGTGGTCGAGGAGGCCGCGGATGTAGTCGGTCGGGCTCGGGTCCAGTCCCGCGGCCAGGTGCAGGAGCGTGGTGCCGTCGCTCGAGTCCTGGAGAACGTAGCCCGTCGCGCCGCCGAGGCGGGTCAGCTTGTCAAGGAGCACGCTGTCTCCGCGTTCCACGGCCCGGAAGAAGATGTCCGTGCGGAGTAAGCTGCACATGACGGCCGGTGAGTTGCTGGCACTCATCGCGGCGGCGTCGAAGCGTCACTGGGCCAACTGGGCGCCCGTTGTTCGACTGGTCCGACTGCAGCCACTGCAGCTTTGCACGAACACACAACTGCAATTCGTAAATGGGCGCTTTGTGGAAAACGGAGAAAGACGGTTGGTGGCGCGACGCAGACTGGAAAAAGCGCCGTAGTGTGGCGCTTCAATCGAGCTCGTGTGCTCGAGGTGTCCGCTGTCGAAGATACGGAAGAGCAAGTCTCAGTTAAGAAGAAAGTTAAGGCCACAGAAAGAGATCGGTGGCTAGAGGGAATGCAGACAAAGACTGCTCTGGAAAGCTATAGATTAAACAAAAGAGTTATTGCCAAAGAAAGCATTTATGACAATTCTAGGGGAAGCTCATTGCTGTTTGAGGCAAGAACGGGTGTTCTGCGAACCAGAACATACAGAGTGAAGTACCAGGAAATTGATACAGTGTGCACTGCTTGTGGAGAGGAGGACGAGACGGCTGAGCACTTGATACTCTACTGTAAAGGGCTTCACCCTATGCCTACCGAAGACAACATAGATTTAATAAAGTCATTGGGTTTTAGAGACAGCGAAGGGAGAGTGGATTTCAAGACTGTAGAGATTACCAAGCAAAGATTAAGTGAATGGTGGCAGAAATCGAGAGAAAACTAGGTATTTTCTTAATCACTGATGGCAAGGGGGTTTCATAGCCTCACTTTCTTTGCACTGCGGAGTGAATATAGATTTCACATTTAAATATTCTAAGCTTAAATGGTAAAACAAAATGGCTAGGTGGCGTAAGCTACCGCCCGATCCAAAGGGCTCAGCCGTATTCATCCATCCATCCATCCATCCATGTGCGCAGGGTTGCCGGACACGTTTTGCGTTTGTACGCTTTTTGCATTTTTCGTTGAGTAGTAAGTACACAAGGTGCCCCCAAAAAAACATTTACAGGGTTTTCGTCACCACAAAAATAAACTACGCACCGCCGAACGCTCATTCTTCGCTCAAAGGTAGCGCTAGAGGTCCAAACCAGACGTCAAAGTTTCAGCCCGAACCGATGTCTTAAAAAATGGCGGCCGACGGAAAACCGAAAACGGAATTGCTCGCGATCATGGATCGCAAAGTGCAATTTCCGAATATGAACAACACTCTTCATTGTCCCAACGTAGTGCTGCAGCCGGTATGGAATTGTACCTTACTGGGGAGTTTTAGTATTGCGTATAGAAGCAAACGCAAGCGCTGTGCGTTTGCGTTAGAGTTGCGTGCCCCACGTTGTGCACGCGCGTCATCGCCATGCGCCAATCCAAGGCGCGCAGTGTGGAACACGCAAAGCTAACGCAAACACACAGCGCTTGCGTTCGCTCGTATACGCAATACTAAAACTCACTACTGTTTCACCGGCTCCCAACGCCTACGAAAGTGAGCAGACGTGCAAGCAGGTAGGCGTTCCCTCAAACTGGAAAGGCTGAGATTGGCAAAACGACGGCGAGTAAAAAGGAAAGTAACTGAATGTTATAAAAAGATTAGTAATTAAAAAAATAGAAAATCCTTTTTTTTTTGGGGGGGGGGGGGGGGGGGGATTTGGTCTGGAAGGATATTTGCGGCCACTTTGGAAGTTTTGCCGATTGTCAAAAGTCGTGAATTTGATAGCACAATATGCTTTACCCACAATTTCAATGTAATTTTACGTGGATTTCTCACATTACCCAGGATGTCTTAATTAATTTTAGACTTCTTTATTTTATAACTTGGTAATTAAAAATGATGCGTTGGCTCCATTGATGATAATTTGCACACTTTTGATTGTCATACTTGTTCACGCGTTTGAAATTAGATCATAAGCAACAAATTTCATTAGTGCTTGAAAAATTACGTATTAAAATTTCTTAATTTCATTATTATTATTATTATTATTATTATTATTATTATTATTATTATTACAAATCGCGGCAATGTATGGCCCCAATTAACGCTACGATCAGAAAAATACGTCATTTAACCATAATAGCCTGTCAAGAAAGGTGCAGTTTTGTTTTCTTCTTAGAATATGAAAAACTCTGACATCGTTATCAATTAAGATAGACAAACAGGAAAACACTGCATGCAATACAAAGTACAATGCGTCACGCGTTGCTTTAAAAATCACACGCTTCAGCTGTCTAACTCGAATTACGTCTTTGTTTTTTTTGTTTTTTTTTTTGTTTTTTGTGAGAACAGCGTTTTTTAATTTAAATGTTTTGTGAACATATTGTAAAAATTTGATTTATTTTGTTATTCTTGTGCTGAAAATAATGTTAAAGCAATTAATGATCTCAATACCCAAAAAAAAAACCATTAAAAGGCCAACAGTTCATGATTTCACAGGACAGTTATCTGAGCGAGAAAAGGCAGCGAGAACGCACAAATATCAGCACTGGTTTTTTTTTTCAACAAATAAAATATGCTATGTTACCTCTAAGGTGTATGAAAAACCCTGTATTTAAAGGAACACTGAAATCTCCAAACTGTTTTGAAGTGCCTGGATCGAACACATGTCACAAAATAAAGTTTCCGCGAACAACTCCTTTAACTAAATAATTCCCACGTGAGGCACATCTTGAGTTACGAAAGAATTCGAAATTAAAACCTATATCGAGAAATTAAATCCAAAATCGAGGTTAGTTTCGGTTCCGCTCCAGATGTCAAACGTGCCTCCTGGAGTAAGTATTACGCAAAACACCGCTTTTGTTTTCAGGATAAAGAGGCGACCTGCGCTCATAACAATTTGTGACGCTCAGTGAAGCCAGCAAGGGCGAGGGAAAAATTGGAGCGGACGGAACGCTGGAGAGGGGGAAACCTCCTCCTCTCTTTAGCGTTCCGACTGCTTCCTCCTCGGCCTTCCTTTGCCTCGCCCTACCTTCTTGAGTTACACCGGAATTAGCGGTATCTTTGGGTCGAAAATCAGCTTTCGGTGACGCGTAATTATTTTTGTGGTGAAAAAAAAAAAAAAAAAAAAAAAAAAAACTCTACACCGGGTACAGTGTACTTGAAATCAAGTGTCATAAATACAATGTACTTTTAAAGTCAAGCACGAGTACTTTTTTAAAACAATCTTTCATGATGCCCGTTTATTCCCGGTGATTTTTGGGGATGATTTTGGGCGAGCGAGGTCCAATGAATCAAAATAAAGTACAAACAGTGAATGTGTTAGGGTTCTTGAACAAAAGGTAAGGGCGCAAACGAGCTGGTGGTGGTTAAACATTTCGACAAAAACCCCGAGACTGGGGCAAAAAGGGACGAGGCAAAGCAAACGAAGCAAACTCAAGAGTGCCTCGCCTACGGTCCTAAATTCTGCGAAAATGTGAAACCGTCTAGAATCGATATTGTTTCAGCCATCCACAGTTTGTCAAATGTTTTACCCAACCCTGCTGAAAAAACTGCATTGGAATCAACGTCGATGAAAATAATGTCTTCCTTAGTAGATCCATCTTACCGGACTGACCGTAGGGATTTTCGAAAAGTTACCTCCGTGAAAAACGAGTTGAAAGAAAAGGACATCATGCTTCTCGAAACTGACAAATCTGGGAAATTTGCTGTTTTACCAATGAATGAGTTCCGAAAAAAATCAGATTTAGCCATAGAGGGGTTGTTCAGGCAGTTCAATGGAAACCTAAGACAGATTAAGCGGGAAATTGTAAGAATAATGAAAGACAATGAATTTCCTGCCTTAGTTTCCAAAATGAAAGTAACCTCAAAAGACACTTTTGGAATCAAGTTTTTCTTGAAGGAACATAAGGAACTCGAAGAGGAAGGTCCTTCCTCTTCGAGTTGTGGTGAATGAGGACGGCACTTGGCAAAAACTAGTGTCGTCCTTTCTTCAAAAGGCCTTGAGTGGTTTAGATGTCGGAAGTCCATTGACCCTACGTTGCTCAGATGACTTAGTGACAGAATTGGAACCTTTTCATAGTAAGCGCTGCACTCTCTTCTCGATGGATATCAAAGACTTATATTATTCGCTAGAACCTAAGATGTTACTTGAACGCGTAGGTCAGTTTCTTGAAAACAATCTTGTTAGATTCCAGTCACATTCTGGGATAGGGGTAGCCGACTTCCTTAGGATTCTTGAACTATATTTAAAAGCAACTGTTGTTCAACACAATAATCGAGATTTCATTCAGAAACGTGGAATATGCATAGGTTCGGCAGTTGCTCCAATTTTGTCAGAGATATATTTAAAGTTATCTAGACCTAAAGCTCCATGACATCGTCCGGAACCGTTCTCCCAGTGACGTTCTTGTAAGGCGGTACGTCGACGACCTTTTGATATGCAGTACCGATCCTAATTTAGCGGCCTCACTTGAAAAGGCTGCCCTTAACAGTTCTCCAGAATTAAAGTTTTCTGTAGATAGACCAGAGGGGGGTACCTTACAATTTTTAGATCTACAGCTGAAACATCCGTCCAGTTTGTCCTGGGAATACGGCAAGCCAAATGCAAAACCTCTCCTTCCATTTCACAGTTGTCACTCAAAACATGTAAAGGCTGGCATAGTACGCAATTTGATCAACAGTGCTCTGAAAAAATCATGTTCCCACTTTATTGAGTCTGCTCTCAAGCGCCTGTTTGACCGTTTTAAAGCCGCTGGGTACCCTCAAGATTACGTGTTCAATCAGTTGTTGTTTCTCATCTCCCTCAAGAAAAAGTGCCAAAGTGTTCTTCAACCCACAAAGCGTGTAGTTCTTCCGTTTTTTCACCAGATTTCACATAATCTTAAATCTATTGGTAATAAGTATGGTATTAGCACGGTATTCAGCAATGATTACAAACTGAATCGTTTGACTCCGTTTGCTTCCGCCAGACCAGGGTGCACTAAAAAACGGGATGAGGACGATTCGTCACACGCGCACTCGTCGCAGGAAGATTGGTCACAGGACGATTCGTCACATAGGAACATTCGTCACAGGATGACTTGTCACGCGGGCCACTGGTCACATCGAGCGGGCAGGGGACAAAAGTAAAATATAAATTTCAGGAACTTCCCAGATTCCCTGTTGACCGTGCAGCTAAAATAATAAGCATGGTCTTTTGTGAAAATGAATTTGTGTGCATATGTACGTTATGCATAAGGTTGGGCCGATTTGCGTAGCTCAATCATAATACGGTATATGCATAAATACCATGA